TTAGGCATGAGATTATTAGAAGTGTTTCCATAGTTTTTAGTGACTAGCCTCTGCCTTATATCCATAAAGGATCCCAATCCTGATTACATTTTTCTTAAGATATATATGAATGCATCTGAACATTTTAAAGTTATTTCTTACTTACTTTCGAAAGTGCAGCATACTGTACTGTTATGAGTACCACCACTAATACCATCAGTGACTCTTCAGTCATTTACTGCCATTCTCAGCTTTCTGTGTATGTTAACTATTTTGACTAATAAAACTATGGGACATTTTTTTTTATTATAATGTGCAATTTTACAGAGAGGGAAACAGTGAGGCCTAGAGAACAGGTAATTTGCTCAGAGTAGCCCAGGAAGTGACAAAACTGGGAATCAATCCACTTACCTTAGTCTTAAACTCCAAGCTCTTCTCTACTACTCCTGCCAGCCTCATTAAGCCAAGATCGCTGACTATTCCATGTGGAGTTATGCATTGTTTTATAAGATAAATACATGGCCTTGCTACTGCATTTGTTTAGATTTAACTACCGGAGATCAGCTTAGCTTTGACATTTACAGGCATAGGTTAGCCTTCAACTCACTGCAAGACATAAAGCAACCTGGTATTTAGTTTACCTGCAAAAGGCAGTTAGGAAGCCCTAGAGGAAGCTAATTAAAATGCAGCACATTTCCAAGGCACTGGATCTTGCTGTGTTGCCATAGAAACTATGGGAACTTTTGGTCACTGACCTTTGAGGGAATCTGAGGATTCATTTTCCTAAGGTCCCACCCGGTATATTCCAAGATCAACACTTGGAAATTCCCTATGTAATCTTAGCTGAGTTTAGGACTAAATTATATTAGAAAAACTTACTAGAGATTCTAGAGGTTTTGAAGGATTTTAAATAATTAAAAATCATGCATCAATAGCAAATAAATAGTAAAAGAAATCTTAGCCATCGAAAAAGTTTTAGAAGTAAAATCATACTTAGAAATAGTTTTAATGTTATAGCTATCATATTTGGAATTTTTCTAGCCAAGACTTACTCAAAGGATAAACTACAGAATTATGTATGAAAACTATGCCCAGAAAATCAGAGCTTATTAAAAATATTAAAATGCTAACATTATTTATAAAGTCTTAAATACCACTTTTACTAATATATTTATAAATTCAGTTATCTTACTACTAAATATATATAATTAAATTCCTAGTTTTACTTTATATTTTCTTTGGCCATTTGGTTGAAGCCAAGTGCTACAGTGTAACGGGAAAAACAACAAAGCCTGTCTTACTGTAGACTGCTACTATTACATCGATATTTTTTATTTTGTACTGAGAAAAGTGACTTAGCTCTATCGTTGGAATGTGCATAACTTCATTGCAATGAAGTACCTATACAGGGCTGATTTTTCTTGGAATTAGAATTACATCTTCAAATATTTAAAATTCACTTATAACACACAGACATCAGAAGCTAATAATTATATCTAGAAAACTGAAGTTACTACCTCACCCCTTAAGGTTCTGGAAGATTCTCTTACACGAGAAGACGGCATGGTGCTATGTGGACTGGAACTACTGGCTGGGCCACATACTAGCTGGCTGGCCTTAAAAAGTTCCTCAGCTCCTATATAAAATGAGAATAATTATTGGTCTCTTAGAGTAGTCATGGGAATTAAACGACTTCATATTAATAAACCCCATCTATTTTGATACAAAGTATTTTTCAAAAACTATATCCAAGCATATCTGCCCTGTCCCATCAACTCAACTGGCCTGGAAGAAGTTGAGATCGTGTCTCTCCTAGTGTTTTCAGTGTGATGGACAGAGGGTGCCTGTCATGTTACAAAAATATAATTCCCTCCTCAGAATGGATTTAGATAGCACTGTCTATGAGAATGAAATGTTCTCTCTGAGATTTAGATGTATAAATGCATATTTAACCCAATAGGAAAAAGGAAAATTTATTTTTCCTTCTACATTTTTACAATATTCAGAATTTCCGAACACTTCACTTCTTCCACCAGGTGTGTATGTATGTGTGCGTGTGAGTGTGTATGTGTTTTACAATGACTCACATTCCTATTTTCTGCAGGTAATGACTGGATAGCCTTTTATGGAGGCTTCAGCATGAACACATGAAAGATTCTGAACTCAGTTCTGGCTCCTTTTCCCTCTCCAGAAAGCCAGAAGCTGGGGCTGACAGTTCTGAACTTGTAACTATAGTTTGGTCTCTTTGCTGAGCAGTTTTGGGACTTAGAAAACACAATTAACTCAAAACACTTGAGAATACAGTATATTTTAAATTGAAGGAAACAGAAAACATCAGAAGCAGAAAGATCTCTCTGATCTCCTGCATGAAGACCCTTGAGTTGCAGGCATCCTGCCCCATCCCAGCAGACAGGAATGCATGCAAGGAGGCCAAGAAGAATGTCAACAACTAGGTCTCAACACATCCTTTCCACTTCTGCCTCCCGTTGCCTCCACTAAGTCATGTCCCCTTGTTGTCCAATCATACTTTCACTCAACTGTATGTCTGTCATCAAATCTAAGTATATAAAATACAATCCCTGGGTCCTTGGCTGGTGCCTCACATCAAACTTTGATGGAATAAATGTGTTGCACTTTGGGCTTGTTCATCTGCCTTCATGACAAGGACTTCCACCTTGTAAGCATGTGGAAAACACTTCCTTTTCTCTCCCTAACATCAGTTCCTATCTAGAAGTCCACCAAGAGGCACTTCATTAGAACAAAATAGGCTCCTCTTACATAGGAAATCCCAATGAACTCAGGAATTCTGTCTGATGCTGGGTTACAGAAGCCAGGGTCACAGACCAGCTAAAATTTAAGAGCTTGGGTCTGTGAGATAGCTCAGCAAACTAAGCACCTGCTTCAGCAAGCTCAGGGATTGGGCTTCGATTCCCAGCACCACATGCACCACTGAGGTTAGGTGTGGTGGCGCACAGCTGTAATCCCAGTGCTGGGGAGGCCGAGACAAGATGATCACTACGAGTCGAAGCTGCGTAGTGAGATCCTGTACCAAATACATTAAAAAAAAATATTATAAGAGTTTTAGGTACTCTGTTTCAAAATGTGGCATAAACCATAGGAAAAAAATATTTCACAATAAGCAACTTACCAAATGAACCAGAAGGACTGGGAAGCATATTTACTTCTCACATGGGTAGAGACATTTTGAAAAGGATACTGTGAACTCCACACCATGCAGTAGGTTCCTCTTCTGCTATTATAAGCCAAAGCCCTCCAGGAATGGTTTGCCTAAATCCCCAGGGGGTTCACAGCAGATGAAACAGCTCAGACATAATGTGCACCTTGCAAATGAAGTTAGAACCAGATGAGCCTCAGGCTACCTGTCAGGAGGTATCCTCAGGAGAGCATGTGGGACAAACCTGCTGAAACGGCTCGTGTGGTTTATGGAATATTTAGAATAAGGGTTTGGTAGGAATTAAAGACACAATAATTCGCTTCTCACAAGTAACTTCCAGAACATGTTCAGAGAAGAAGCACCTTCAAGTAGAATTTCAACCAACATAAACCTTCAAGTTCAAGCTCACAGCTTTCCTTACCTCTAGCTGCTCGGTCACTGGAGTCAGTCTATTTTTGTTTATTCCTTATTATTTAGTATCAACTCTTGTTATTTTTAAAAAATGTACCTGAATTTTAGACAGATTGAAAGTATAACTTAATCACCATTTTCTAATGTGACTCAACATATATTGATAATGAATACTTCACTTGCTTAAATACAATTTAAATACAGCAAAACACTTACCACTTCTTTCCCATATGAGACAACACACATGGCTGAGTGCTCTGGTATTCTCTTTCCAATCAGGTACAAACAAAATCTTTCTGGCAACCATCTATACATAGTCTCTCAATCCTCCTTCCTGTCCATCCCAGTTACATACCAAATCACTCATAATTACATATAAACTGATAGCAGAGCTAGGACATTATTTCTTGCAATTGAACTTCCTACCAGTGATTTGTACATGGCCATTTTTCATCTGAATCATTAAGAATCTTAAACAGAACACTTTCTCAATTAACTTATCTACAGTTTTCCATAGCCAAGTTTACTGTCAGCTTCCTGGAAATTTAACAGGCTTTCCCTCACCTGAAAAACTTTTCCTGATAAAGTATACTAGGATTAATATATTAGTATTATTTAAAGAAATCCATGAGATTTTTCATAAGTCTAGAAAATTAACATTTCTTCAAATCTGGTACTTCCCAGAGTTTTGCTTTATTTTGTTTTCCTCTTTTTGTGAAGTTTTCTTGTTTTATTTCCTTTTTGGCCTGGAGATTTAACTCTGAGTGACTAACTCTGAGTGACTCTTGCAAAGCCCAGGAGACATCTGAAAGCATGTCTTGGGATGGGGAAGAGACTATGTCTGATTATTAAAAAAAAAAAACAAACCACAGTGTGTGAGTGAATTCTGAAAACCTCTGACACGCTAGTGTTTTAGGACTATCTAAAGAAGATGCGGTCCAAATCATCTCTCACCCTTTGTTGCATGGAAGCGTATTGGCAGGTTGGCCTCTTAACAATGCAGGGTTGACAGACTTTGGGGAATGTCACTTCCAGGACATCTGAGCCTAAGGTTGATGTTCCAGTTTCACTAGTGTCCCTCAAATCTTTCTTCAAATGGCTGTTTAGAACTTTAAATTTAAGTTTCTTCTGTCAGTTTGCACACCAAATTGTTTATAAGCATAGTTTTATTATTAAAATGAAAATGACACAACATTGTGGAATGAGATAACATTTTATTTTAATTTTCACCATCTATATACAAACACAAGTTAATAAAACACATCACAAAACAGTAAGATTTCATAGTTAATATTTATAGGTGCATAGATTCATGCGCACATATTTTTATATATTATATATTTTAACAAATTTCACAATATATTATTATTATTATTAGAATCATTAAAGACAACTTAAATGTTATAATATATGAGAGGAAATCACTTAGAACTTCTCAACACTAGCAACAGAAAAATAGTGGAGATTTAGAAATAAGTGGTAGTCACTTGGGTGTTTTTTATCTGTTTTAACGTTTTAGATTTGAAGCCACAATATCCACAGCACACACGGAGGCTGCTACCATAAATTCACTTCAGTGAGGGGAGCACCGAGATGCTGATGGGGCAGGTACAGAGACTTCAACCACTGCTGATGGAAGACTTCAAAATACACCGTAAAAACTCAGAGAAAATGTCATGACTGGGCACATTGGAACTGAGCACTGGTATAGGGTGGAACATCTGTCAGCAGATCTTAAGAAACTGGAAGCCAAGGTATTTCTTAAGCTTCAGGTTCATAGTCTTGATAGCCTTCCTGATATTAGGAAAAACAAAAAAATTCATCACTCACTGTTAGTAGAAGTGTTCACTAATCAAAGATTTGGAGCAAATGATACAGGGCATGGCATTTTGAGTTAAGCTTATATTCGAACAGTTTGGGAATGACTCTGCTATATAATTTTAACTTTTTGATTTGTCTTACCTATCACATATAAAACTAAATTATGTTAGTCATCAAAATAAGGTATTTGGTTTCTACTTCTAGATTACTATTTAGGCTGTGGAGATAGCTTAGCAGTCTAAGTACCTACCTAGGCAAGTGCAAGGACCCAGGTTTGGTCCCTGTTACCACATGCCATGCTGCCTACCAAGACCAGGTGCGCTGGTGCACACCTGTGATCCCACTGCTGCGGAGGCTGAAACAGGAGGATCACTATGAGTCTGAGCTGCATAGTGAGACCTTGTACCAAATACATAAAAATAAATAAACAGATGACTATTTGGTAATCCCTTGCCATTAGTCCCTTACAACAATTTAGTTGCACCTCCCCTTTCCAGTGCACTCAAACCTAAACTGGACCAGTTAAGTCAAATTGCTCACAAAATGTCTCTCATGGCTAAGGCACTCTAACTCTTAGAAGCAAACTAAGATACTTAAAGACGAGAAAAAATATTCTCTCCTCTCATTTTCCCAACTGGAAATTTCATCTTTGCCTATGAGTTCAACAATTACCTCTATTTTCTTTCAGAGCCAAAGTCCTATACAATATTTAGATAACAGTTACATGAATGCAAATGACCTTATGGGGTCAGGTAAGACCTCCCTCAGAATATCTTTAATGGTATCAAGAGTCTGCATAAATACAAACATACCTTCTTCAAAACTTCCAGTTGATTTTTTTTTTTTTTTTTTTTTGGTGGCGGAACCAGGAATTGAACTCAGGCCCTTGCGCTTGCCAGGGAAGCACTTATTCCACTGAGCCATCTCCCAGGCCCCCAAGGATTTTTTTTTTTTTTTTTTTCTGACTCAGAATGCCTTCAGGGCATGTGTGGCTGGCTGGAGTTGTGGGGATCAAACCACAGCAACCTGAGCCTGACGGCTTTGTTGAAGCAGCCACTTAAAGAACTGAGCTAAGGCGGCAGACCCCCCCAGTTGATTTTTAGAACACAAGATCGTCCTGGTGCTGGGCAGTCTGTCTTTGATCTTTGATCTTAGCCATCACTTTAATCTTACTCTATTACTAGGCTGTTTCATAAGCTTGACTCATGATTACTTGCTATTCCTGAAACCAATCCACATGCACAGGAATTTGTGCCTCTGCCTCGGACCCTTCTTTCTAACCCAATGCCCTACCCCTTAGAGACCTACAGTATCACCTCCCCTCGACTGCCCAGATCAACACTGCCTTTTAGAGAAAGCCTCCTGAGTGACTCACACAAATCCTGAGAAGAAAATCTGACCATGACAGGATTTCGATACTGCTTTTAAGACAACCCCACTTCTACTCCTAAACTTTATTTTTGGAGTTTTATGTGTATGACTTTACCTCAGAAGGCATTTCATAGGCCTCACTGTCAGGATCCACAGGCATGTCTTCCAGAATTCCTTCCTGGGGGGATCCTTCTTCACTCTAGTATGTAAATTGAGAAACACAAAAAAGAACGTGATGAGACACCATTTTCCACTTTTCAAATATGTTATGAAAAAATTCTGATCTATATATGAGGTGTTGGCAGAAATGCTGACATCCTTTATATTAGGGATGACATTCCAGCTAGACAGCACCTTTGAGAAAACATTATGACAACAGGGTTACTAGCCTGAAAAAGGTGTCAAATTTTTTATCCAGGAAACTAACTGGAAAATAATCTGTGGCTATACCCAAAAATGTTTTGTAAGATCAATATTAATAGCAAAATATGGTTAATTCAATGATGAATAGATGACAAACGTCAAAAAATATTCTAATACATAAAAGATTATTATGAAGACATTTGTTATTATGATCCAAGAACTATGCATCAAAAGGAAAAACTATGGTACAACATTTAACTGAATATAGTGTGATATATGTTGTGAATGCAATTTATGTAGGATTCTAGTGCAAAAACGAAGATTGAAAGAAAATAACAAAATAGTGAAAATATTTTGTGTTCTCCTTATTTTTTCCCAAATTTTAAACTTTTATAATTATGTCTGTATAAACATACATGTTTTATAATTTATTTTTAATTTTTTATAATTTATTTTTAAATGTTGGCAAAAAAACAAATACTTTTCTGTAATTTGAAGACTGAAAATATATGCAGTGTGATCAAATATATGGTGAATGCTCACATTTGTAAAGTTTATTACAGTGAAAACACATTGCCATTAATTCCCTTCAAAACACTCCCTGTTGCATTGCACGCTCTTATTTCATCGTTCTTGTCACTTTCTGAAGCAGCTTCTGAAGCTCTCTTTTAGGAGCGTCTTAAATTGTGATTAAAAAAAAAAAAAAAATGCAGTGAATATTGCTCCTGTGCGCCATCTAATGGTAGGGCAGGGTCTTGTTTCCTGGATCTGATTCCACGTGATTTCTGGCTCTTGCCATAACTCATCGTTCTTGTCACTTTCTGAAACAGCTTCTGAAGCTCTCTTTTAGGAGCGTCTTAAATTGTGTTAAAAAAAAAAAAAAAAAATGCAGTGAATATTGCTCCTGTGCGCCATCTAAGGGTAGGGCAGGGCCTTGTTTCCTGGATCTGATTCCACGTGATTTCTGGCTCTTACCATAACTCAAAACGACTATGAAAGGTAAAATTTTCAATGGACCTAGCACAGCAAGGCAGCCATGGCCCTGCAACTAAAGATGCTCACCAGACAGAAATTCCAGAACTACTTATATTTGAAGGAATAAAGTCAAACAACATGGCCCTTTTAGAAACAGGATGTTACAAAATTGTCTAAAATAGTCATTATTCTTCATGAAACCATTTGTTGCTTTGAATTTATTCCAACAAAACCGCTATTTAAAACATGAAGTTCAAAGACAATTCAAAAAGCAGAGATGAAAAAACAAAAAAAGAAAAAAGAAAAAATCAAATGGTTTTTTTGGCTTACAGTGAGCAACATGTCTGACATAGATTATGTCACCCCTGCTTTTGTCATGGAAGGCACTGACACACAGACAGATAAGGAGAAGGCTGACAGTGAAAAAGACCAAGTGGAAAAAAAAAACAGAAAAAAGAAAGAAAAACAAAACAAGAAAAGAAACAATTGAATATGATTTTAAGATGTTCAATAAGCTATCAAGGTCACAAGAATTAGCCTACACTTTCAGAAACTTTTAGTCATTTAAAAATGTGTAGGGAATGGGTTGGTTCTGTGACCCTCCTGAGAATAGCAAAATCTATAGATGTTTAGACAAATCCTTAAAAAAAAAATAAAAAAAAGGGCAGAGGGAGCTGGTGTTTGCAAACAATCTATACACATCCCTCTGAAGGCTTTTTAGTCTTCTCAAGATTACAAAGGAGACCTAGCAACAATACTATATAAACGGCTGTAGTTCTCAAGTCAATATGGGAGCTCCTCAATCAATATTGGGAATGTGGTTTCTCAATATTAATTGAGATGAAGGAAGACTTGTGGCAGAGACACACGTAAGAGTGTTTTATTGACCACACAGTCTACTAAAGGAACACACTGCCTTAAATACATAATGAGAACAAAGGTTTTCTTCACCAAATGAGAACAAAGGGCATTCTATGAGAAAGGAACTCAAAAGACAGTTCAAGGAAAGTACATGTTTCACTTGAGCTGATAGCACTGGGGACAGTTTAGCTGACTGTATTGGGGACAGCTTGGGAAGCAGCACAGAAAAGGTCTACACACGGAGCAGCTGCAAGGCTATGACCTCCCCCAGGGCATGCTCCACATGCAGAGTCTTTCAGCTGACCCCTTAGGAGACCTTCAGGCTGTCGACATTACAGCTGCAAAGCGCTTCACGCACACAAGTCTGTACTTACTCCCACAGCACTGGTGTAGTCGACTGTTCATGGACTAACACGCTGCAGTCCTGACAGGAAATACACCCCATGGGCCCTTTTGTCAAAGGCCTCATCCTGAGCCTGTACTGCTAATAGGAGACGGCAGAAGTTTTAAGCAGTAGGGGCTCCTGTCCCCATTCCCTTCCTGTCTCTTACTTTTTTGCCACTATGAGGGAAGCAGAATTCATTTGCCTTGGGCTTCTGCTACCATAGACTGTGTTGCCAGAAACCCAAAAGCAAAAGGACACACAACCATGCATGGAAACCTCTAAATTGTGAGTCAGAAATGAATGTTTCTTTTTCTAAGTTGATGACCTCAGGTATATTGTCACAGTGGCAGAAAACCTACCATACGTATTTCTTAAAGATGCAATTTTGAGGCCAGGGAGAACGCTCAGTGGCACAGTACCTCCTGGCAAGTACAAGGTCCTAAGTCTGACTGCCAGTGTCAAAAAAGGATGCCGTTTTTCTCAATATTTTCCACTCATAGTTGGGTGCAGAACACATGGATATGGAGGACCAACTGTACATGTTGTTCTCACAAGTCTGACCAGCAAATTCTTTAATGGTGTATTTCTGGAGAATAAAATTATTATATTAAAATAAAGATACAGGGGCCGGGGAGATGGCTCAGTAGAATAAGTGCTTGTCTGGCAAAGCACAAAGGCCTGAGTTCAATCCCCAGTTCCGGAAAAAATAAAAAATAAAAAAATAAAATAAAGATACAGCAATGTTCTACTAATAAATTATACTCAACAATTGTGAAGGTCTAAAATAACTACATTACATACCTGAAATGGAAAAAGCTCCCTGAAAGTCTATAAAGCTTCTTCCTGAGGACATTTTCCCCATCATACCAGGAGAGGTGACCACACTTTTTTAATCACTACCCTGTGCTACTTTTCTTACCTATGTACAGATATAAGTAGCTGAGAAATAATATATTCTCACCTGATCCTGAACCTTCCTGCTGCTTACAAGCCAGCTAGTAGAGTCCACTGCAGGTAGAAAAAACAGTAAAGCCCATAAGGAGGGAGTAGTCGTGGTGCTCTATCCATCAGTTTATCCATATACATACTCTCTCTGAGGCCACTCTATATTTTTTTATGCTACAAATTTATAAAAAGATGGAGAATAGCCAATCTGAAATAAATATTTATTAAAGCACAGTGGAGAATGTCTTTGTTAGTATATTCTGAAGAGTAACCAGGAATGGGCTGGCCAAATAGCTCAGCAGACTAAAGCACCTGCTTAGGCAGAGTGCGGTGGCCGGAGCTTCGATCCCTGGCCTGCCGTGCTGGCCCTGCCCCCCGGGGCGTGCTGAGATGGGGACTGAGACTGGGCATGGTGTGGCACGTGCCTATAATCTCAGCACTTGGAAAGCTGAAAACAGGAGAATCATTATGAGTCTGACCTACACAGGGAGACCCTGTAGACTCTGTCCTAAATACAGAAAAGAGGAAAAAAAAAAAAAAAAAGAGTAACTGGGACTGTGTGAAATGACCAATCTGAGGACAAGGACAGAGGAACATGGGACTGGTAAGGAGCTGGGGAAGGTGACAGAGCAGTGAAGAGGCCTGCCTCAGGTATAGTTCCTATAACGAAAGTAGCCCCAATCCTGTATGAACAGGTTGTCTAATATTCAGCATCCTCCCACCATTCTACCTGGACCCTCACAAATTTGGCGTTATCTGCCCTCACTGAAGTTTCCCACACAGCACTCAACATAAGAAGCTGCCAGATGGAAGCTATGGAAATAGCACAGGAAGAGATGACTATTTCATGGAAACAAAAACTGAGGCCCAAGGGGCTGAGGCTGTAGCTCAGTGGCATAAAGGCCTGCCTGGTAAAAGCAAGGTCCTGAGTTCAGTCCCTGGTACAAAACAAACAAACAAGCAAAAACAAGTGAGGATGAGATTTGATCAGAAAATAATATAATGTTTGGAAAATTACCAAGCACATAGGCTTTGTGGCTGGAAAATATAGTAAGGGTCTGAAAAAAGAAGAAAGCTAACTGTCTAAGAATAGCCAAAGCACATTTATCCCCCCATTCTTGCCACCCTATGAAGTCATTTAGGCAGGCCTCTTTTGTTAGTGTCTTTCATTACTATTGTGGAAGACTTGATACTCTGAACTGATTCAAAACATTTACCTTTTGTGGTTATTTTGACTTTGGTAAAGAGCTGGAAGCTTTACTGTGTCAGGTGCAGTGAACAAGGTAGACGGGGCCACACTACAACGTTCTATAAACCTGCCATTTCAGGGCGTGGTACTCGGCAGCGACATTCACAATTCTGATCACATATCTTAAAGTCATGAAATAAGACTGCCAGAGCTGTTTCAGCAAATGATCAGAATGACGGGATTAGCACGTTCAAAATGAGGGATGCATTTGGGGGTGGGATTAATGACACTGTATCTTTTATTATACTAAGAGTTTTAGAATTTAAACATTCATGGAATACTTTGATCATCCCTTTTTTGTATCTCACCTTTCCTATATAAATTTACCTTACAGATATCCAAGAGTAGATGAGTACAAGTTTTGCTCTATACACATAATCTAGTTAAGGCAAGAAACAAAACTAAAATATCACTTTCTTCA